CCTATATATTTACTTCATATGTTTTTTCTTTTCTTTTTTAATTTACAAATGTGGGTTTCTTTATGATTTGGCTAAAATGTACCTTATTGTAGGATGTTAACTTATGGAAGCTCATGGGGGACTTCAATCTCCATGGAATTACTGCACCTGGTAAAGCGTGAGAAATCGTTTTTGATGCTTCCCTCATTCACTGTTATTTGGAGTTATTCAATCTTAATAATTATATTCATATCCTCTTTATCCACGAATTTTCATCTTTTCCGCTTCTAGTTATTATCCATAAAATTTTATTTAATTATACTCTTATTGTACATTATGAGTGTCCTGATGGAGGTAAATCTAATTGAGATAATTGATACATAGTAAGTGCCTTCTTAAATTAGATGAATATTGAGATGGTTGCATATATTTTGCTATAGTACTGTTTCTCTCATTCTTTCAAGATATTTTAAAACTAAGCTATTGATTGTCTTGTAGAGGAATATGGAGGACTTGGTCTTGGTTACTTATATCACTGTATAGCAATGGAAGAAATAAGTCGTGCTTCTGGGTCTGTTGCCCTCTCCTTCGGTGCACATTCTAACCTGTGCATCAATCAGCTGGTAAAGTGAAGTGATTAAATATTGTGTTAGTGACGTCATAGTAGGATTATATGTCGTAGTGAAATCATTAAGTGCAGTATGGACTACATAAGTTATGTTAACCTCTTATTTGTTGATTTTTCAGGTGAGGAATGGAAGCCCAGCTCAAAAAGAGAAGTACTTGCCTAAGGTTTTATTCCTTTCTGCCTTTGCTCTTTGTACCCGATTCCCACAATAATGTTCATGTTATAATAATTACCAAACTGCACATAACAATGTCATGCTCGCTTCATTTTCTCTGATGCCTAGCCATCTGGAAGTGTCATACCGGAATTTTTCTGTTTTTTTTTTTTTTTTTTCATTTTTAATATAATTGCTGAAGTAAATTTTTCATTCCTTAACAACTATTTTTTACTAAAGAAGATTTAGTAAATTCTATCTTCATGCTTTCCTTTGCTCTATTGCCTTCTCATTGCTCCTTTCTTTTCTATTAAAGTAATTCTTTTTGGCTACTAACTTAACTATATCTTTGTTAAGCTTATTAAAGGGGAGCATGTAGGAGCTCTTGCAATGAGTGAACCCAATGGTAACTTTAATGAACTTTTGTTTTTCATGTGTGCATGCAAAGGTAGATCCTTTTAAGAACTAAAAATGTTTTCATCCTTGGATGATGCATTTCCTATTTTCAGCTGGCTCGGATGTTGTGAGCATGAAATGCAAAGCTGACCGAGTGGATGGTGGATATATCATTAATGGAAACAAGATGTGGTGTACTAATGGTCCTACAGCTCAAACATTGGTAGTTTTTGTTGCAATTTTTCTAAGCCTGTTAAAAAAATTCTACTCTATTTATTGGTTGATACTTGTGTTGCCTAAGAAAAAGATACCGATAGATAATATAGCATTCGATTCATTTATAACTGTAGAATTATTAAAAACAAAACTCCAAAGAAAAATCTTTAAGAACACTGAAATAGTTAGTCATGTTGGATGTGTGATATTTCATCAAAATTACATGAACTTTTTTCTTTGTTGCTATATGGTGAAAACTTTTCTTTCTTTCCTTTTTTTTTAAATTCAGGGGTCTATTATGGTTTGTGAACAACCTTGAACTTGATCACTTTCGTGTTGTGCATATATTAAATGTATTTGGCTATATATGTATTAAATGTACTTGGTTTATATGGAAACCTAGTTTTGTCATAGTATGTTAGTATGAATCACCTACATTTTCAGAGAAATTGGGACCCTTAACTAAAATTACCCTTGCAAAAGCTGATTCAACGGGAATCAATAAACTGAAAGGCCATTTAAGTAAATAGAAATAAAAGAAGAATTGCTTGACACATTCTTCTCCTTTGATATTGTAGAATTCATAATTGATGTTCGTGGGTTTTATTTATTTTATGTATTTTCATGTAATGTAGGAGGGAATAAACATGTTGACGGAGTAACATTTTATAGGTTCAGGTTACATGTAGTAGTTTGTATTCCACCTTAAAATCTTAAAACCACGTAGGATGGTCAAATTGTGGTTGTTGGAACATTTTATTCTTGCTTATTTCATTGACTCATAGCTGATATACACAATTGTATCAGGTTGTTTATGCAAAAACAGACGCAAATGCTGGCTCAAAGGGAATTACAGCGTTTATCATTGAAAAAGGAATGCCCGGGTACTTGAATAATCTTTGGTCTGGTTAATGATAGGTTGAATTTGCAAGTGAGAGTTTTCTGTTCCAGTTCTATAGCATGCAGTCGTGTAGCACCATAGCGTATATTTTTTTTAACTGTATTCCTAAACTAACCTATGCTGCTGATTCCAACATCATTTAGAAACTATGAATGTTCTTATTCCTTCATTCTTATATTGGCTGCTTCTATGTTTCTCAGATTCAGTACTGCCCAGAAATTAGACAAACTTGGCATGCGAGGGAGTGATACGTGAGTCTACTGTGGTTTGAAATTCAAGTTTCTAAAATTAGAGCATGCAATCTTCTTGCCTCTTCCACTAATGTTGGCGATGGTTCGAACAGATGTGAGCTTGTCTTCGAAAATTGCTTTGTTCCTGAAGAAAATGTACTTGGACAAGAAGGAAAAGGTATTCTGCTGGTGTACTACTTCATTCATGAATCTAGTAAATAGTTATATTTATTAATATTTTATCTCTGTAAAATCATTTCAATGAGGTTGGATGCGCAATTGATGGGGATGTTACTTAATGGCAGATTTCAACACAGGGTTTCTAATGTATGGTGGTGGCCTAATTTTGATCAATCTATTTTCTTTTCTCAGTTAAAAGAATCACAACATTCCAAAAAAGAAGAGAAGATATTATGTGATCTTATTGTTAGCAATCTTTGGACCTAGGCTTTCATAATTGTTGTGTAGGTGACGGTAGTTCTCTGACCAAATGTTGCGACGGCTAAATGTGATGTCTCCAAGGGATAATAATATCTAAAATGCTGACATTTCTAGCACCAATGGCATCTCTTTATGATAATGTTCCAATTGTTATGATTTTTACCTTTTGAATCTTGATGTAATAATAGATAGAAAAGATACGATGAGAATAAGGAATTTAATGTGCTGACATTTTTGCTTTAGTACCAGGCTCTTTCATGTTTTGTTTGGGTTTAATGTAATAGTAGCGAAAAAGCTTTGGTGTTGTCATGCCAATTACTTACTATGATACATATAAATGTAAATAGTAACTACCTTGTCTTGTTGCGGCCTGATTGGAAGAGAACCAAACTATTGCCATCATCATGTTGGTCATTATTTTAGTAGTGTAATGTACTATGTTTTATTTCAGGAGTTTATGTTATGATGTCTGGGTTAGATTTGGAGAGGCTTGTTTTGGCTGCTGGTCCCCTTGGTCTTATGCAGGCATGCCTGGATGTTGTTCTTCCTTACGTTAAACAAAGAGAGCAGTTTGGTCGTCCAATTGGGGAATTCCAGTTTATACAGGTTCTATCACTGTGACTATCTTACCATACTTGCATCTGACGTTTCCTCTAAAATGACTCAATTAATCTGAAATTGCAGGGAAAACTTGCCGATATGTATACGTCTTTGCAATCATCAAGGTGAGAGATTTTGGAGTAATTATGTATTATTTCTGATTTCTGATTTTTGTTCTTTTGTCATGTTGACTCTCTCTGTCCCTCTCCAGGTCCTACGTTTATTCTGTTGCGAGGGACTGTGACAGTGGAAAAGTAGATCCCAAGGTTTGTAGGGCATCTTAAGCCTTTTTTTCCCCTTTTTTCCGCTTGAATCTTTTGGTTTCCCTATTAATATGTAACATGTTCCTCTGATGTTTAGATAAATAGAGTACTTTAAGTTTTGATCTACCCGTTGCTACTTTACTGCGATCTTTCACCACTTCTCTAATGAATGTTATATAAGCACACGTTCGTAGTAGCTATGCTTTTGACCCATTTTTTCTTTTTCCATGGCCATGGAAACACTTGGTCAATAAATTCCTTCAAGTATTCACCCTGTGTGGTTTTGTGTCCAGGATTGTGCTGGAGTAATATTATGTGCAGCTGAAAGGGCAACACAAGTTGCTCTGCAGGTAAAGTTGTATTCATTAAACACTTTTTTTTCAATCGTTTATCGCGCAGAACTATCAGAAGCACGTTTCTTTCAGAAGCTTTTGTTTCAGTCAAACGTCGAGAGGAATATTTGTTTTACACGCCATTCTTTTCTATTTTCCAATAGAACCATATTACTTCTAAGTTCTATGCCATAGCAAGAACTTGTGAAAGAAGTAACACCAACTCCAACAACTTGATGGGCCAATACTTGACAAACGATTTTGAGATTGAATCGATTTAACTGATCAAAATGACTTGATTAAATATGCCATCTTCATATTCACAGTTATTTTAGCACATTATGTGCGTAACATTACCATGTGTAAATTGTTCATGTTCTTGTTCAATCTTGCAGGCCATACAATGTTTAGGAGGCAACGGGTATGTAAATGAATACACAACCGGTCGACTACTAAGAGATGCGAAACTATATGAAATAGGTGCAGGAACTAGTGAAGTGAGAAGAATGATCATTGGTCGCTCGCTGTTCAAAGAACAATAGGACAACTTTCACTCGTTGAATTGCTATAGATTTCATCCCACGATCAAAGTCTATACTCATGAGCAGCCCCCTGTGCAGATTTTGAAGAAGCAAAGGTGATTGAGATCTTTATTCACAATGTGTAATTTTAAGGAAACATTCACATTTATCATAAATAATTGTTGCCTTTGTTTGAAATAAATTAAGTTGCCTCTGTTCTACTTTTCAAGTTATTTAAATTCCAATGATCTCTGTTTCTACTAAGTTCAAAATATTCAATATCATTCCATACCATTCCACACAGCTAAAATTCCATACCATTCCACACAGCTAAAAGGATTTGTAGAATTACACACTGTCCATTAGAAAGCAGAGGTTTGAAACAGATTCGAACCTATTGGACCGAGAGGATGAAGCAAAGCTACTGACTTTGAGCTCGACTTTGATATGGAAAACATATAATCCTAAGGAAATATGGGAAATCACACATCTTGATTACTACTAATTAAAACTCTCTTACTACTGTGGGAGAAGAATCAGGTTGGCCCACTGAAGAGGATTTTGAGGCTTCCATACACAAAGGAGCTTGGTCTAAGCAGCTTTGAGTATCATCGCTGATCACTCCATTTGTCATCTTCTCCACTTCTTCTTGGGTGTATATATGGATTTTTGAAACCGCATCACAGAAGTCACTGAACAGCAAAGAATGAGATGAAAAATGATCATAAGACAAGATTAAAAGCTGAAATATGTTTTAGAACTAATGTCGGAAACGCGCAATACAATAATCTATTTTGCCACCATGATCATCAGAAACACAAGGATAACCTTTAATTGAAGTTAGCCATCAAGCAATATTATGCGACTTTCGTAAGTTTAAAATTAATCTAGCTCTCACTAGCTCAAGTCCATCGCTAGCAGATATTGTCCGCTTTGACCCGTTACATATTGCCGTCAGCCTCACGGTTTTAAAACGCGTCTACTAGAGAGAGGTTTCCACACCCTTCTAAGAAATGTTTCGTTCCTCTCTCCAACCGATGTAGGATCTAACAATCCACCCCCCTTGGGGGCTAGTGTTCTCGCTGACATACCGCTCGGTGTCTAACTCTGATACCATTTATAACAGTCCAAGCCCACCGCTAGTAGATATTGTCTACTTTGGCCCCTTACGTATTGTCGTCAGCCTCACAATTTTAAAACGCGTCTACTAGAGAGAGGTTTTCACACCCTTATAAGAATGCTTCGTTTCCCTCTCCAACCGATGTGAGATTTAACAATAACTGTTATTTACAAATCTACATTGCTTAACAAGAATCCTTTGGCAGGACATGTTATCCAGATCTTATTTTATGTTCCTAGAAGTTCCACCTTAATAGCCCATCTTAATTGTTTTCATGCAATGAAATAATCAAGATTTCAAGATAAAGCACTTACAGCCATGGATAATCCCCAACAACCATTACGTCGTTCTCGTTGTCGGTGTACAGTACACGCCATCCTTTATCAGGATCTTTCAAGAGTCCTTCCATGCAAAACAGCCGCTCCAGTTCAGAAAGCAGATCAGAATAGCCATTGAGTCTAGAGAGATCAATGGCTCTTCCCACTAGACTACCTTGTTTGTGAACCTTCACTTAACAAGACTAATATCAGAGCATGGAAGAACAGTAAAAGATAACATTACTGACCAAATTTCTCAGCAGCACCCATTTCTTACCTTAGTACAACTCCTCTTCCCTGAACTCTGCATGTTTGTAGCAGTTTCTGTAGTCAAGGAAAAGCCAAAAAGTCTACAGCCAGTTGAATTCTCATTCACATTTTCATCCTTTGAATTCCTTATATTCGACCCTGAAGTAGTGCTCATAACACTAGCATCAACAGATGGGCCGAACAAGGCACTCTCTCTTGGAAAGTTGCCATCATTTGAGCGCATCACAGCAGCAGCTTGGCCTGTACTGTAAAATTCACTAGGAGGGAAATACATGTTTTGGGCTCCATTTGACGCCATGTGATAAAAACTAGAGTTTGGTGAGTGAAATGTGTTAAAAGAGTTGTCACTGAGATTGAACTTTCCCCAAACACCTAAACAATGTTCTGGTTTTCTTGTTTGTGGCCTCAATGAGCATATTTCTTGACCTTGCAAGACCTTCAGGAATCTTTCAGATTCCATAAAGCCTGTGAAAGATGAGTTCGGATGAACCTTTACGTAGTCACCTCTATACTTCTCAGCTCCACCCGATGCTTGATGTGCAGAAGATCGCACCTCGAACTCCAGGGAACGTTTTGTAGTATCACGTCCATAAAACGGTGATACAATACCTACATTTTCTTGACCTTGCAAGACCTTAGAGGATCTAATTGAATCCTCAAAGTCCATAAAACCGCCCCTCCCTACTGTAAGAAAATTTTAATGAATAGTTTTAACAACTCAAGCTTAGAAGAAACACAATTTATCAGTTTCAATTTGGTCACTCATACCAGCAAAGGCGTTGGGTGGGGCTGCCTGCAGACTAGTCCTCAGTTTCTTCAGCCTTGGAGAAGACTGAACACTCAAGGGTGGGAGAGAAACAGAAGATTCGATCTCCCAGGGTGAAACACGTTCTTGATGATCACCGTCTTTATCCCATCGTACCTGATGGATTATAAATATTAGAAAAATATTGTGTGACAACGTTGACATGGTTCTTGCTAGCTTCTATAGTACAGCGTGTAATGTTGTAATAGCCCAAACTCATCACTAGCAGATATTGTCCTCTTTGGACTTTCCCTTCTCGGCTTCCCCTCAAAGTTTTAAAACGCATTTGCTAGGGAGAGGGTTCCACACCCTTATCAGGAATGTTTTGTTCACCTCTCCAACCGAGGTGGGATCTCAAAATCCACCCCCCTTGGGGGCCGGTGTCCTCGCTGGCACATCGCCCGATGTTTGGGTCTGACACCATTTGTAACAGCCCAAATCCACTACCGGCAGATATTGTCCTCTTTGAGCTTTCCCCTCTAAGTTTCCCCTCAAGGTTTTAAAACATGTCTGCTAAGAAGAGGTTTCCACACCCTTATGAAGAATGCTTTGTTCCCCTCTCCAACCGATATGGGATCTCACAAATGCGATTGTCCAACAGATACCCATTGTGCATTCTTATATGCAGCAACACCCTTATGGGGATTATAACACTTACCGTCAAGCATCTCCACTTTGAGTTCGGCCATCTCAAGGGATCCATGTCACCAATTCCGAGAACTACACCATTAAACCTGTAAGAAACAAATACCTATAAATATATTTGTATAACATAATAAAAACCATTGATCTTGATCGTGTATGGATAAACCTTCTTTCTGGCGAATCATCCATCTCAAATCTCATTTTGAATCTTGTGCCAACGGTCACTGGATTATTGATGCTCTTTACATACTTCTGACAAGATATAACAAACTGTGCATGATATGCCCTGCAAGTCAGTATGTTTAACATGTTATTGTATTTTCTGAGTAAGCGAAGGCTGGTCAAGAACACTATCAAGTTCTAATAATAAACATGAACCAGTATGACACTAAATAGAGAATATTTGAACGAACGGACTATTTCTTAAAAATACCACCAACAGTTCTGATTCAAACTTTTGTTCTTACTTGCAAGATCACAATATTTTAACTTAGAAATCAAGATTTCGCATATGATGTCTATCGATTCACTTAAATCCAAAATTGTACCATCTATCTGGTTTGAGATAACAGCTTTCATAGTTTTTCTGCTCAAGTTCAGAAGTGTTATTATACAATGGGAGGCATTTAGTAACGAACCCCCTCTAAGATTGTTATTTCTTCTCAGTTACAAACAGAGGTGTCTTAATGCTAAACCTTATAGAACATAAATCACAAGGCCATATGATCCCATGTTTGATTCTTGGCAGACCTCAGAAGAGTAATGACCACAAAGCCTAGAATACCTATGTAGTAGTAAGTAAAGAATGCTTACCCTTTTTCGTCGTTAAAAAAGGTGGCTTGTTCTGATTACATTTACTATCTGGATAATATGGATGCTTGTGATGCTTTGACCTACTAATATCACAAGGCCATATGAAACATTTACTATCAGTTCTAACCTGGCATAGCATTAACCTACTAATATAGTTGGTTATGTTAGAAATCATGAACCATATTGTCCACATTGGGCATAAACTCTCATGGTTTTGCTTTTGGTTTTCCTAAAAGGTCTCATACCAATGGAGATAGTGTTCCTTACTTATAAATCCATGATCAACCCTTTAATTAACCGATGTGGGACTCCTCTCCCAACTTAAAGCAAAAAGATATTCTCCTGTGCTTGTTACGTAAATTTATTATCATGGATTGGACCCAGGGTACAGATTTACAAAATTCTACATATCTGCTCATACCTCAAAAGCAAAGAGTTTTCCTGATGTCCTCTATCACCGCTCTAATAAAACAGTAATATATAGCTAATTCTATTTCTTGATTGATGAGTACTGAACCATTAATGATACCTTGGATTGTAAAACACATCAAATATGCTCTTGGTAGATATTGCTTTCACCACACGAGCAAGATCATCTGCACAAGAATTTTGGTTGCCCACAATTGAATTAGGAAGACCATTTCTAGGCCGAACAGCTCGCCTTATGCCCAACCTTAGCTCTCCATTTTCACCCCTGCAGACAATCACAAATGGTTTAAATAAATATGACCAATTGTAGGGGTTAATATGTAGATTCATACCTTAAAAACAGCACTGCATCCCCAGAAATAAGATTCTTTTGGCTTACAAAAAGACTCCATCCAGTAGTCAGCAGATGCCGCCTAGGTTGACCTGCCGAGTTATTAAGAGTTAGTTCAATTATGACAGACAATCAAAGGAGTCTCACATTATACCTCTGTAAATATGTTTAAATCTCCACTCGACGCCATGTAGGTCCTTGGCAATTAGCTCTTGAGACGGCCTAAGCTGAGTGTAATCCTGCAGTAACCCATCGACCTCACTCAGAACATTTCCAAATAAAACAACCCAGATAAAACCCAATTCATTTCATTTGAGAAAAACTTAAAACAAAACATAGGAAAGCAGTGGCAACCAGAGGAGGGAAACAGTCTTCGGCAGCTCTGCGAGGAACAGAGAATCCTCCATGGGTGCTCGTATCAGACGCTGTGAGTGTTTTGCAAAACATGTGAGGTGTAGATCTAGTAGGCGACACTCCGCTCCCATCTCCATCAGCTCCATTCAACGCCAATTCCTCCAACTCTTTGCCCTCTAGACCAGTGCCTAAGAACTATAGAATATCCAAATTTATGGTAATCCACTATAAGGGTCATCTCATCCTCAAGCTAAATTAAACAGAAGAAAATAAGCTACGAACTTTATTAACCTTTCCATACTCCAAATTACGAGTAACGTACTATAACAAAGTTTTGAATTGGAAACTACCTCTGGCAAGGGAAGCAGAGTAAGTTGTGTGTAGACCTCATCATTCTCCTTATTGGCCTGTCAAAATGGTATGAGCAGTGAAAAGCCGAAGGCTGTCAAGGGAAACTGGGGCGGCTGCTTGAGAGAGGAGAAGGCAGAACATGAATTTAAAATGTAAACCCATTACTTACAAGTAAGTGGACATTGATGACCCTGCAGAGGATCTGCGGCTGGAGGTCAAAAGTGCGCATTTCCATGGGGGAAAAGGGAGAGGCTGAGGCAATCTGCTCCAAGTGACCTTGTGGGAAATAGACAACTACATTTCCTTTCTTAGGCAATGAGGTGAGAGGACCAGCACAAGCATGCCAAAGCTCCAAATAAGTTGAAGAAGAGACGAGAGCTGGCGATGAATTTGAGGAACATGAAGAAGTTGAAGAGGATAAACAACAATTGCAGCGACCCTCTTCACAATTTCCATTGCAATATGCATTCTTGCCCACATCACTGGCTGTTAGGTTCAGATCAATTTCCATGAACACCCAGAGTTACTTCAAGTGTCTTATTGCTATGTTTCCCAACAGAAAGCAAAAAAGAAGAACAGCAACAGAACTAAAACAAGAAAGTGGAATCAATTGGCAATAAGGTGAGAAGAAGACCAGAGCTGTAGAAAACTGGAAATGAGGTCAAAGCATGGTAAAATTGCTAAAAACATACCCAGAAGAGATACCATTAAAGCTAAGAACGGGAGAGAAATGAAAGGGGATGAGTAGAAAAACAACAAGAAAGTAGTGTTTGGATGGATGCTAACCCAGTAGGGTGGTAGCTAAAAAGATAGAAAGAGGGGTATCAAATAATAACAAGAAATTCAAAGTATGATTCCTCGCCCATTTGCAGGTATTGAGAAGAGGGAGCAGAAGCAGCAGACATAGACAATTGCATAGGAAACACAGAAGCAAAAGGCGAAAAAAGGCCAATGCTTTGGTGGCTTTTGGAGTGTTAGAGAGAGAGAGTGCGTATATGTGTGGGTGGGTGGCGGGGACAGGCTAAGACAGAACAAAACCCACACTTCCCCATCCCCTTCTTCTTTGCTTTGCTTTGCCCTTTCCCTTCGGAGCTTCCCCCCTTCTCCTTTATTAATAATTTCTTTCACTGTGAAAGTGTGTGGGGGTGAGGCCGCCCTGGCCCTCCACCAAAGACAAAAAGGTTGGTTTTCATTAATGCAACAAAAATAATATATCTTTATCTCTTTGTACAATCTTTTTCCCTAATAAACAAGAAGATCCCTTCACTTAGTCATTTTATCAAACAGGTACTGGGCATATTCAGCCAACCCAATTAAAAGCTCCTAAACCCCATTGCCCATCTCCCAAAATGCAAAAGAAAGAGACCCACAATCACACAAACAGATGGAAAATCAATTGGATCAAAGCTAATCCAATCTAATCTAATCTAATCTCATCCGAAAAAGAAGCCAATAAAGTGGGGGCCAAGGCCATGGGCATTGGTGGGGGAAAGAGGGTCTTTAGCAGCATGTATAGTGGGCGGGCGGGGGTCAGAGCCCCGCCATTGCTGCAAACTGCAAATAGCAACACATAAACACCAAGCAGTGATACCAGTTCAGCAGTCAGCAGTGTATTGAGTACAACCCTTTTCTGCATCTCATGTCCTATCTCACTGCTTTTGTTCCTTTTTCTAATTCTAATTATGGAATCACTGTTTCCCACTCCCTTAAAACGCGCGTCCTCTTCTTCTTCTTCTTCTTCATCTTCTTCGAAGAATCGCCACTGATGAGCTTAAAAAAGAAGAAGAAAAAAACCAAATCATCCATTTCTCTCTCCTTCTAAGGGCTGAATTTAGTAACTTTTCTTAAAAATTATATAAACATAATTGATGGGAGTTATGACTGTTTGAAATTTCAGTGAAACTAATTTTAACTAGGCGCGTGAGGGCAACGCCTGAGAAGGCGAGTGAATAAGAAGAGGGTGAGTTGAGTTGGTCGTTTCAAAAGAGGAAGAGATCGAGAAGCCTGCGCCTTTGGCGCTGCTTCAATGCCCCACCACCATTATATATATATATACACTTTCCAATTTTACCTCTCCTTTTTTACTGTTATGGTTAAAATATTAAATTGCAAGTGAAAAATTAAAATACCGTTCTTATAATATAATATAATATCATAAATAATTTAATTAACTAAAATATGTTTTCTAAAGTCTGTTTCGATTATTTATAATCAGATAGGTTTTTGAAATATCATAATAATTAAAATTTTCTATTATTTTAAAAATATTTATTAAGAAAACACTCTAAATATATCTAAGAAAATAATAACATATTTAAAATAAAGATGCATTATTTAAAACACTAAAAAATAAATAAATAAATAAAGATGTAAATATATTTTTATTAAAAAATGCATAATTAGAAGTATTTTGAATAAAATGGTTAAATATATATTTTTCTTAATCGAGTACGGAATATATTACCCTACCATTTTCCAGGAGGAGCAAATGAATGAAATTTGGTTTAAAATATTAAAAAAAATGGTTCCTTAAATGTTAATTAAATAAAAGTATATCCCCACAGCTGAGTTATTTATTAAGTGGGTATATAAATTTAACAATTTAAACTTTCATTTATGACCATTAATCTCTTCTCAACTATATTAAATTCCCATTATATACAGAATTTAATGAATTATTTTTTCAGTAAATTTAGTCGGGTTTTAATTTTGTTTTTTTTTTTATTTCTTAATAAAACCTCATAAATAATATTTATGATTTGATCAAACCGGGAGGCTTTTCCTACATTTTATTAAACCATGTAATATCATTAATTGTTTTATATATTTATTTATCAAACCATCTTTATTTTATTTATTATTGATTATATATATTCACCCACATTCATCACCGTTATAATTTTTTAGGTTAAATTAATAAAAATATTCGTAAACTTTATACTCTTTTATCTCGAAAATACTTTTATACTTTTAAAATATTCAACAATACCTCTAAACTTTTTTAAATTTAAAAAATTCACACTCGCTGTGGTGATACAAATCTTTAATATTTTGTTTCAAAAATGCCCAACTTTATAAAATTTTATTAATGCTTTTTAATTTTTTTAAGAGGTTTTAAAATATCATTATAATTAATACTCAAATTTTAAAAATAACATTAACCCATTTTCTCTTTATATAAATGTTTTAAAAAAATTATTACCGTTACTATATTATGAACAAAATTCATTTATCGACCTCTCTCAATTATCTTCAAATTTATTAATGTCATCTTTAAAATTTCATAAATTTATGCTTATGTTGTTGTTTTATTTGACAGTTTAATGAATATGTGTGTTGTCGGGTAGATTTTGTTTGTATTAGCCTCCATCTCCTTTTTCTTTTTTGCTTTAATCGCCCCCATCATTCCTACTATTTCTCTTATGTCCATGTGTTTCTATCTTTTTTTTTTTCAACCCAACCCCTCATCTTTGCTTTATTTACACTTTCACATTCATCTCCTCTTCTCCCTCATCTTAATTTAATTTAAACACTAATAAACCTAATTAAGGTGTTCAATTTGACTCACCCATGTTATAATTAAGGATGTTTATGTTAAAAAATTGAAAAAATTTGGGTGGATTCTAGGGTTCACATTTTATCGTGGAGTCAATCTGACCCACCCAATTCAACCCTATTTCTAATATTATTATGAAAATTAAGAATAAGTTTAGTGATTTGTAAATGTTTAATATTTAAATTCTATGATATTTTAGTTATTCATGTAAACTGCATAGTAGAACAATCCGACAAAGTAAGTATATATTTTCTTAAATAACAAAAAAAATAAGAACAATCGGACAAACTAACCAATTTTTTGATCAAACCACTTTTAAAAAAAAAAAATAGATCCGTAAATGTAATAAAAGTTAAAAACTCAAGACGGAGTTGAAAAAGGTGTTTGAAAACGGTGGTCTAATTCAGGGCTATTTATGTGCCCAAACAGAGGAATCCAACCAGTTCTATTATTGTTTTTTTGGTTAATTAAAAAAAAATGGAGAAATAAGGAGGAGCTGTGGGTCATACTTTAGAGGGGGACAAATGGTATCCCCATGATGACATGGGAATAATTACTTGCTTTTAACAAAGTTTCAATCCTCTATTTCAAACCCAAACATGATCCCACAATTATCATCATACCACAAATAAATTTAATATTATACATTTTAATTTAACAGTAATAAATAAAATAATGATCATAATCTAAGACAAAATATTAAAAAAAAAAAAAACATCAATAACAATAAAGTTTGATTGATTAAAGTTGTAAAGTGAGAAAGAAACAGAAATAAAGCTCAATTATTTCATCAAAACAAAAACCAAACAAGACAGAATCTTGAAGTCTTTATGTTTGAGAAATGAAATGGGCCTAGTTGGGCTCGGTGGCTGTCACTGTCCCCTTCTCCCTTTGAAATATCAAATCAATGTTTTATAAGATTTATGGGACGACATGTTTTGTTGGCTAAATGGCCTCATATTGTGCTGTTCAACGTTATGGCTCATGTCCAATATCCTCAACCCATCATAGGGCCCAATATCAATTCCACTGCCCCCGCCCTTCTTTCTCGGCGTCTTATTTAAATAGATAATAGCGAGGCTATCCAAACTAGACAATATCTGCTACGACTATTACAAATAGGATAAGAGTCACTAGTTATAGTAGATCTGGACCCTCTACATAACAAACGCGTTTTAAAATGGTGAGACTAACGATGATACGTAAGGCCAAAGCAGATAATGCCGGCTAGACTTACGCTGCTGCAAAAACATTTTGAATAATGCTATTTATATGTAGTTTTCGTTAATGTTCATTTTGGTTCTAACACTGTTAAGAGTGGGCCGACTGCGACAACAAATGAGGTGGTGGTGTGGCGGGTAGGGGACAAGGTGTTGACAGTGTGTTTGGATCAATCAAATTAAATAGGGGTGTTTTGTATGCGCATAAGCCTTGCAAAATGGGGAGGGGACCGATTATAAAGGACAATTATGTGATGTCCTTTCTATTTTCCTATAATGGGTCCAACTTTGCTTTCTTAGTGAGCGCCCGAGGCTGATTGATGGACTCACTTGACTCTGTTCAAGCAAACTTAGCCTAATCTTTGATTCTTACTACCTACCATGTAACAGCTTAGGAGCCAAACAAAACTCGACACCATTCGATCCAACCAAATCAATCCATGTCGGGTAGTTTCAATTTGGTTCTGCATTATTGAAAAAGAAAAAAAAGGTGAACACGAGTGTAGTGTTAAGCTACCTACACTCTAACTCTCGAGTCAGTACTAGAGTCTTAGATCACCTTAAACCATAAAATTTATGAGTGATTTTGTATGTACTTTTGAATGTCGTCTTTCGAGCACCGATTTCATTGGCTCGACCTCAAACCAACCCCATCCAATCACTTTACACTCCTAGTGACAAGTGGACACAAATCCGTATAGTATATGATTTGATGAACATCAAACAATCCTTAAATCATTTGCCTAGTATACAAAATAGAATGTGAAAATGGCAATGGAAAGCACAAAATTGGATGCATTTATAGAACACAAGCTGAACTAAGGCTTCAAAATCAAATTCCGGTGTCATGTTTGATGGGTCTGTTCTGGTTCCATAGGCAAAGAACTTGGACATCTTTGGCATGTCTCGGTTCCCAGCTCACCAACATCAGTTCCCACAATCTCATCTTTATCGAATTCACTGCTACTGAATTCTGGGGTCCTAGATTCGATTGCCGTAGTCTGATTACCTTCGTTGAGTTCACTGTCACAAATTTTAGTGGACGGATCGTGGGGGCCACTAATGTTTTCATCTTGAAGTAAGCCGTAGCTAAGACTCACATCCTTCCACTCAGTGTTCATAGATAGATGTTCATGCCGAGTCAAGTAACGCTTTAGCTCGACCTTGAGGTTCTTGATCGGCTGTTGCAATAGACCAGATATCAATATAAATGGGAAGGTAAAAACTGAGTTCTGAGCAGACCCAAAACATCAAGGAGAAAAATTCAGGAAGACTCTTGTTCTTATGGCCAACAATTAGTCGTATTTTAAGAATAGATGGCACAGTGGCAACAAATTCAAGAGTGGAAAGGTGATGAACATGAAATTAGAAAAAAGAAGATACTTATCCAGTTAGACGTTTCACAAGATAAGATCCTCTTTAATAAAACTCCTTATTGGAGGATTATACTACTACGGATTGATATTGTTTTTTTTGGACTTTTTCTTTCGAGTTTTCACTCAAAAATTTTAAAACACGGCCGTTAAAAAGAGGTTTTCATACCCTTGTGAAGTATATTTCGTTTTCATCCCAATCGATGTGGATCTCATAATCCATTCCTTCAAAGTTCAACGTTTTTACTGCTATTCGTTCCTCTCTCCAACTAATATGGGATCGAGACCAACTAATATGGAATCTAACTGATCGGATCTCACAATATGAGATAAATGCATTACCAAACCCATATGGGCATATAGAAAGAATCTCTCTAAAGACATGCCATTAACAGCCTTTTGCAAAAATGGTCAAAATCAAAGTACGTTTTCCAGCTTTACTAATGCTATAAGCCCTTCTAGATATGATCAGAGGTAAAGATAAAGATGTTCGAATATGTCATTTACACTACCTCGGCATTGCAGACATAAGCAAGGCGAAAGAAATCAGCTGACACAAAATGCTTCCCGACGGATTCAGCCAATTTGATCTGAGCAACCCAATATGACGAAGTCTCCATCTTGTCAAAACGACAATTACTGCATTTTTCCGCAGTATGATAAGGGGTGCCAGCGTTTCTCATCTTATGCAAACGAGGCCTAGCCACCGGCGTCTGAGGCTCCACAACGTCGTTCGTAACACGCAGATCCTTTATGGCCGTTTCCATAACTTGCTGTTTGGTGCTAAGGCTCTTCTTCTTCGGCCTCGGATTCAACTTTTCACTGATCTTCTGATCAGTAGTAGCATTGACCGCGATTTGAGTTAATCGAGTGGATTTTGGTTGTTTCTTAACAGCTCCAATTAAGGGCTTAGCTAAGGGATTTTCATTTACTGATTTGATTGGAATGTTTGAGCTCCGAACAATTCCGAAAACTCGTTTCTGCCTAATGGTAACAATAAGATTCATACTCTACTACAGAAGAACATGATTCAACAAGGAAATTCGGAACGAAATTGACAATAATAATAAAGTGTAGTACCTGGAAATCGGAGGTTGAAGGGGGGTGATTTGGGGCCCTTCACAGGCTGGCTTTCGGATGAATTTCGGTTTAGAAGAAACAGGTTTCACTGACGATTTGAAGCAAATTTGAGAGAAATCAGTAACGAAATCAAGCAGAAATGAATGAGATAACAAAAAACAAAACGGATCAATACCTGGAATCCGGGAGAGTTTAGGATCCATTAATTGCAAAGAATCGAGAGAGTAGAGTTGAATTAAGGCCGATCTTTCTGCAAATCCAGATATGCGGAAACAGGGGAGAGAGAACGGTTAGATCAGAACAGATGGAATTTCTTGAAGTTGAAAATTAGAAAAAGGCGGGAACGAGGTACTATTTAAATGGGCTGGGCTTCAACTCTTATGGCCCAGTTTTAGAGCCCAATCTAATATTAATTAATTTAATCATTTAATCTGTAAGTGAATATTAATTAAATAAGTTATAAAAGAAAAAAAAACATTACATTAAAAACATAAAAATCATTAAAACTGATCAGCCCCCTTTAGTGATAAGGGCCAAGGGGCGGCTGGAATTTCTAGAATATGTAATACATGGAAAAAACGATGAAGAAACAAATAACGGTCCAGAATTGCGGTCTAAAAAGGGGACAACCCGGTCCGCACTCTACCTTCAATTACGTGTCAACACGTGTGACGATGAATTCTAAATTGCTGACGTGTGGAAATACGATTTGTCATTGACTGACAAAAACCAAAATTACAAACGAACCCCTTGCATGAAGTTTGACGGAAAAAGAAGAATTAGGACTTTAAAGTCAGAAAATTATTTAAGTAATATGAATAAAATTGTATTTATAATTCACAAATTTCCTTTGAAATTTAAAATATAATATCTGAAAAGAATATACATATTATCATATTATTTTTGCGTACGGTTAGGTGGTTCAGCCCGCAAGTGGGCGTATTTTCTTTTGGAATAAATGTTTTATTTTAATTTATTCGTTTAATTAGAAAATCATTTGTCACCGACATGGTATAAACACAGATGTTGTTGGTGATCTCTGGGGTTTAACGGTCGGAATATAGGAATTATATTATTAAAAATTGATTATATATATATTTGCTTGTCAAACAAACTAATAGTCATTTTAGAGAGTGGCATGATGTTTCAACTAAATAATTTAAGTATCCAACTTGTGGTATTGGTAGATTTCGAGAATGAATGATATCTTAATATTTGAACTGTGTTTATATTAACGATTGAAAAACGAAAGACTATCAGCGATTTGTTTAAATTAATTCATTTGAGGAGTTTTTATATCTCGAGAGATGAGTCGAGGGTAACTCTCGCTTAACCAATTTCTCAGAATCCTATGAAGATCGAGCTACTTTTAATTAATGTGAGATTTAAAAAAAAAAAAAAAACAGGGTTATTGTTCCTATCATTCAAAGGTTGTTGGGTCTCCATAGAGTTGATTGTGAGATTTCATATTAGTTGGAGAGGACATTAAACATTTCATATGAAAATCTCTCCTTACCAGACACGTTTTAAAAGGGCAAGAATACATAATAAACCAAAACGAACCATACCCGCTATTTGTGGGCTTGGACAGTTACACATTTATTTTTACTAAATAGGCCATAATTATTTTTAAACTTTTAATAAATTAATTTTTCAAAATGGTTTTCCGGAGTTGATTTTGGATAATTATTTTAAAAAGAGTAATATAATTTAAATTAGGTCCGTACGATATATAATATAGTGATTTAAATAAAATAAATGAATGAAAATTGGAAAATCCTTTTCTTTCGAAAAAAAAACACCATATGGGCGGTACTAATTGCTATTAAATGGTTTGAATTGTAGTTGACGTCATACATTTTATTTTATTTTTTTATTTTTTCAAAAATAACATTGTTCAAATGTCATAATAATGTAACGAAAAATGGTTGATTACGAGTGTTTGATAATTGAAAGATATTTTAATGATTTAACGACTAAGGATCCATTAATTTTGTTACCAAATTAGTTTTAAAAAGACACGACAACTAATTTATTAATATTAAAACTTGCGTTAAAGTAGAGTTTTACTTCTCGTTTAAATGTCAAAATTCTTCGGGTTGAAAATAATAAAAAGACAAAATAAAGAATTAAAGTCTTCTTGTAATACCTAATATGGATTTTTTAAGCACATTATTTCTCTTTTGTTTCGAAAAAAAGTCTCCATGTGTTTTGTAATGCATGATAATTTTGACATTTTTCTATTGATACTCGCCTTAAATCGGGTGCAAAATTTATATTTAAATAGAGAATAAAAGAGTTAAACCAGGTTGTCGATAATAATAATATTTCTCATCTCTCTCCTCATACTAAATCTAACAAATATTTGTCTCACTCCGTTTATATTTTTGTTTATAAAATATTATTCAATTTTACATTTTTAATAGAATTATATTAAAAAATAAAATGAAAAAAAAAATTACCGTAGAGAACCCGATCCCGTGAGGATTCCCCTCCTGAACCCCACAGAAATAAACGGACTTTTATTCATATCATGCACACGAGTTTCTCTTCTATTATTGTCAAATTAAAATAAAATTAATGATTATATTAGGTATGCCAAGAAAATAGAGTCTACAACATTGTAGAAGGCTAATGTTGAAAAAGGGAGAGTGACGTCATTTTTAAAATAAATTATTAATGTTTATAAATATGATTGATTCAGACGTAGGATTAATTAAGAATCCATTTTGAAAATTAGTCACCAAAAAAAAAAAAAAAAAAAAAAAAAAAAAAAAAAAAAAAAAAAAAAAAAA